GTGAGCGGTAGGTAGAGATGTGGTAGGTGGCGGTGCCACATTACAAAATTGCCCTTTTACCTTAGTTCATTAATTGGGGGTCAAAATAACAGATTTTTTTGTAAAAAATCAAAGTTGCGATACATCAGGTACATGAAGAAACAAGGCACCAAAAAATTTATTAAAAACATATAATTTGGTTTTAGTGAAGTTCAGACAATAATCTTGCTTTCATTTAAAGAAAAATAACTACCACCTGTTAGACCATTCTGCCAATGCCTTGTTATCCTCGTAGTGATCAAAGTTATGTGTCATCCCAATGAACAAAGCCTGCTTCGGCCTAATTCTCTTAACAGCATCAAGGCTCTGTAAAATGGGGGTACTAAAAAGTAGGCAACCAAATTAAATGTATTGAAATTATGGAAGGAATTTTGAGATTCAGAGATAACCAAAAAGACCAAACCTGCTGCAAGCAGAAGTGGGTGTTGTGAGAGCCTTCCTGCTCAATTAAGAGATTAGTTTAGATAACTTGGGGAGAATGAAAGCAAGCCATAAAAAGCACTCATACTGGCAACCAGATATCAGGAAAGAACAAAGCAGCACTAAAAAAAAATATAAATTATAGATTTTAATAAGTGCGGTAGTGTGTCTACAAATTCATTAATCACTCCAGAACTTAGTAGCTAAAATAATAACAACGCAAAAGCTAAAAAACGAAATTTTCCAGGTTCAAGATTGCACAAGGTATTCTGGAACTATCAAGTTATTAACTGTTGTGTAACTTACATACAAAGCAACTAAGAGTAAATTAAAGCATAAAGTCCCGTTTATCAAGTCCAACCTTGAGCAGAAACATACACAGGTGAGCAGAAGACTTTAAATAATATATGTCAGGAACCCAGATTGTTCTACACGAATTCTAAAGCAAAAGGACACATAGATTAAAAAAATTTAAATAAACAGGAATCCCGGAAAAGTCACTATAGTGCCCCCCCAATACTCTGTGTTGTGTACCGTGTCTGGATGCAAACAAGCAAACTTATGCATTGAGCTGGCATGCCTGATGGTATAATTGAGTCGGTTATGATTCTATGGATAATATTTATGCAAGTCGGACACTGACATAGCTCATATATACTCAAAACATCACACACAGCATAATTCGTGACCAACTTTACCTGATAAAATCAGATGAGCAATGCCTCAATCACACACCCGATATTTCTACTAGACGCCATAACTTTGCCTTGGTCCCTAGCCCACAAATAATCAGATTTGATTTTTTTATATAGTACTCAGTGCCGTAGGGTATATTTTCTGCATTGAGTTTTTAGTGTTCTCCAATATTATCTTATTATTATTTGCATCTCATTCAATGTGTTAGGACAGGAAAACATTGTGAAAATATAAACTTAGAAAGGTTCTCTAAATTTAATAAGCAGTGTACGTTCACGTGGGTTTTTCTTAGAAAATTATTCCCATCCTTCGGTTATAAAAAGGAAATTCTGCAGTGAATAATGCGCGTGAAAAAATAAATTTCACCTCTAATGAGATGTCAGAGGGCCATCTAAGCATTATCACCTTGATGCTTCTTTGATCAGCCCCCTTTACCCTATCCACTAGGATTGCTGATGGCGCTGCATGTTACACCCTAATTGCACTGCAACACCCATGTCCCATTGTGAGATCGCAAGTTGCACCATGCACCCTAATGTGATGCATGACTGCTAAACCATTCTCATCCTCTCTCTCTCTCTCTCTCTCTCTCGCTCACACACACACACACACACACACACAACACACACACACACCACACACACACACACACAATTTCATGGTCTCTCAACCTCATCTCAATAGCTCAAAACCCTCCTTAATCACTGATGTCACCATTAAATTCAATGGTATCAAATTATCTATAATGGTTGCCATTTTGCTTCCTTATTAGTTCTCATGTCAAGCTTCTTTTTAATACTTCACCAGAATGCCATAAGACCCCCGAGGTTGCACAGTGGTAGGTGCCCGACTACACTGTTGTTATCTATCATTCAACAGTCTTGAACATTTTACTGCCTACATTGCTATGTTTCCAGATTTTGTGAAGAAGATGCGGGCATCTTAATTTCCCAAAATTTGAACAAAGTAATAATTGAAGAGGTTGCACTCTATTCGAGAATATTTTCTCTTCAATATAACAATATTCAGATCCAATAATAATATAGCACACTAAGGGAAACAAAATACTTCAATATGCCATTTTGCTATTGATTCAACCATATGATAGAAGAAAAGAAAAAAAGAATTTGATATGAAACAATTTTATCAATGCCCTCTCAACAAAGTAAGCAATCTCAATTAATAACAAAGTCAAAGGTTCCTAACATTAGGATTTCTCTATCCAAGTTTTTTTTACATTATTAAATTTCAAATCTATAACCTCCACCTCCAAAACAACTTTCATTCACAGCCAACACTAAAAGGGGTCACGAGAACTATAGATGTGGTAGCTAGAGTGTAGATTGCCACAATGACACCTGCAGTAGCTTTTCTTTCCGCCCTCTAAACATTATCCAGAATGTTGCTAGAAAAAGTTCCATTATCCCTTCATTATTCTGCAACCTACTTCAATTACTTCCTCCTTTGAATCTCTCCCTATCTCCCAAGAATATTCTCATCGACTACTTTAACAAACATCTCTCAATATCAAATTTCATCTTTTTCTTTAGATTCACTCCAACTCGCTTTACTAATATGTCCAGAAATTTAGATTCAAGTGCTTATTCTAATCTGAAAACTAATAATCACTTTTCTTTAGATACAATACAGCTCTCTTTACTGATATGTCCAGTGTTTTAGATTCAACTGTTTATTCCCATATTAAAAGTAATCGTAACTACTTTATTTCTTCACAAGACTTCTCCATTTCTTAGCATTATCATTGATAGTTTCCGTCTCCTATTTCCAGAAAGAATATTGTACATTCTTACACATATTTTTCTCTCCTAGATATTTTATGTCTCACATATCCTTATAAACTTATTCAGCCCCATTTATTGTGCTTTATAGGATATCAATATGAATAAAATGACTGATGGTGATGTTGAAGCTGGCAAAATCTACTGCATGAAAATAACATCATGTTTGTTCTCTCTTATAGTATTACTTCGTATTAATGGCATTGCTGTTGAATCATCTACCTCCTAATAGACTTTTGATATATTTATCCTTATCTCTCTCTGAGAATACCTATTCTAACTATGAATTGGGAAAACTCCATCATGTGTTATTCCTACCGCAAGTTCTATCTTCCTTTTATGTCACCACATGCAAACACATTAGGTCCTACCTTGTCAGTTACTCATTTAAGATTCTTTTATTATTTAGGAATCAACTTGCTCGAGATCACAAGCTTTCAATATATTACAGTTTTTTATAATTTTTTGTTAAAAAATCCATTTAAACTAACACTTGACGCACTTGTAATGCCATAAAATTTATAGTCTCAATTTCACTTTTTTTTTTGAAATTGTAATTACTCATCAAGTTTATTGCCTACAAGCATTTCAACATAATGTTGTTCTTGAAAGCAAAAATTTCATATAACTTGATTTGTGAAAAAAAAAACATTTATATGAACGTCACTCATCAATTATGGGAGAGGCAATCTTGAAAACATGTTAACTTACCAATTGTATCCCCTCAATCATCATCACTAATCTTTCACCATCTTTACTCTTTACCCAGATTAATTTGTTTTCCAAATTACAATTAGGGCATTTAGTTGTGTATATTTTGTTCATCCATTTAGTTCAACAATAGTTTTCTCATATCATTAGGTACTTATTTATCAAGTTGTCGGCACAAAAAAAGGAGAAAGGAAGAGATTGTTTGGGGGGCCGCCCGTAAGAACCTGTCGGCAGCCGGAATCGAAATCTCATCGCCCGCTTCGGAAGGACGTTTTAATTTACGTATATATATATATAT